TGCACAAACAGGAGAAGCCTGCAAAGTCCACACCATGAAAACGTCTTGTTTCAGCCAAGTGAACAGAGAGTAAAAGCAGCGTTAAACGTCTTATTACTGAACTGCTGCGTTTTTATTTTTGACCTTTTCTGGATGCATGGACAACTCTTCAGAGTTATTTCAAACTTCAGCAGACACTGAAGGAATCAGCGCTGTGTGAGTGCAGCCTTTATTAAACCGGCAAGTCTTTGAAAACACGTTTTTATTTCGAGTTATTTCATTTGTAAAAAGCTTTCAGTGAAATATTGTTTTATTAAAACATTTAGATGACGGTCAGTGAGAATTCTGCTGCGATCACAGAAAATACCTTTAAAGGGAAACTCGTGTGTTTACGGGTGCAGCGAGCTGCTGATTAACTGAGAGGCTGATTGACAACGGCTGCATCAGACATGCGACAGGAAATAAACAATAAAATCCAGACGCTGGTTAGAACACGCCCTCATTCCTTCACACTAAAAAAACCCGTCTTCAGAAGCACCGTGACTCTGCAGGTTTGCGGCGCTGCAGCGTCAGACGTCACCGGGATTTACTTTCTGTTCAATATTCAAATAAATCACACAGCAGGCCGGCGGCTGCTCACAGTGAGGCCGTCCAGGCTGACAGTTTGATGCTTCTGTTTGGGCCTTTTGCTCACATTTACACCTCCAGGAAATCAGCAGATGGAAAATGATTTATCCATACAAGAAAGTGCCAGCTACATTTTTTATGAAGCATCGGCAGGCAAAGCGTTTTTCTGTCAAACAGGAATAAAAGAATAATGAGTCCTTAAAGCAGAACAGCACAGAGACCGAACGCTGCAGTCTAACCTCTGAGGACTGATGCTGCGACGGATTTTCATCGCCATCAGATTTATTAACGCCCGCCACTGTGACGCTTCCTGCTCTGCTGCTTTGGTTTTAGCAGCTTTGGTTTCACTTCTAATTTTGGAGCAGGTCATGTCTCTGCTGCAGCTTCAGATAAGACAGAAAGTGATGAAAACAGGTTAGAAATGTGGGATCATGAAGTAATGACTATGTTAAGCTCTAGAGGTGGGAATCACCA